GAAGCCAGGAAGGCTATGGGTGTTGCCTTGAGGCCCCTGGGACCAGGGCTGATGCCACAGAAGAGATGTAGAGCTGAATCTTGGCTTTTATGGGTTCAGGTCTTAAGACAAACAGCATCTTGGACCAATACAGGAACAATATTCTAAGATGGGGGTCCCTTAGGTCTCCCAAAGCCCTTGCTGTCCCTTCACCATCCTGAGGTTTCCCCCTTCTTTGGGCTATTTCTGTCCTGGCCTTGCCCCTGTGGATGGTACAGATCCCTGGGTTTTTTCTCATTGTTTGACTCCACTCTTCTTAAATTGTGTTTTAGGGTACAGTGGGGAGCTTGAGATGGAGTCTCTGTGTGGCCCAGATAGGCCTTCTTGAACTCTTGATCCTCATACTTTAAGCCTCCCAAGTGCTGGGGCTGCAGGTGTTGGCCACCCATGTAACCCCCCTCCATTGTTTCAGGGCCTGACTCCAGTCACCTTCTAGATGAAACCACCACACTAGCTCACGGACAGTTCCCTTCTTTGTTCTTGTAAGACCCCCATCTTCAATGCTTAATATGGGCTAATTCCCTCACCTCTGAGCTCTTTCTTCCCAGCAAAACTGTGGCTTCATCTATTCCTTCACTCAGTCACTCACATAGTACAAATTAATGTATTTAGTATTAGGTTAGTAGAACCTGCTTTGATTCCTACCATGGGGAAGCAGACTCCTGGATACATCATTTATTATTAACTGCTGTGTGACTCTGAATAAGTCACTTTGCTTCTCTGAGCCATAAGAAAATACCTCCAAGCTGGGTCTGATAATATATGTCTTTAATCCCAGTTTTGGGAGGCAAAGGCAGGTAGATCTCTCTGTGAGATTGAAGCCAACCTGGTCTACATAAAAGTTCCAGGCTACACAGTGAAACCTTGCCTCGAAAAAAAAAAAGAAAAATAAAGTATTACATGCAGTGTTAGATGGCTTAGAACTGTACAGATAACTACAGCTCTCAGGCCGACGCATGATTCTTACTAAACATGTGCATCGCCTATTATTATTATTATTAAAGAATCTTTGATGCTGGAGAATTGACTCAGTGGGTAAGAGCATTTACTGCTCTTGCAGAAGTCCCAAATTCAATTCCCAGTACCAGTGCCAGACAGCTCAGAACCACCTGTAACTCCAGCTCCCGGAGATCGGACACCATCTTCTAGCCTCTGTAGCACTGCCTTCACGTACATAAACCCACACTCAGACACACACATACACATTCTTAAAAAATAATAATAAAGCCGGGTGTGTTGGCACATATACCGAGTCCCAGCACTTGGGAGGCAGAGGCAGATGGATCTCTGAGATCGAGGCCAACCTGGTCTACCTAGTGAGCTCCAGGTCAGCTAGGGGCTACATAGTGAGACCCTGTCTCAAAAAAATAAAATAAAATAAAATAAAACATTAAAGAAAAAAGAATCTACTAGGTTCCAGGTACTCTGCAGCACAATGACACAGCCAAGAACTAACCAGTCTAGTGGCACAGGCAGACACAAAACCAGCAAGTATGTGCAGTATGACTAATAGAAGAAGTATGGCCACACGGCAGGGAGCGTGGTTACTCAGGCTCGCCTGTAGGCAAGGCAGAGGAGGAGTCTCAGAGGTGGTGGCATAAGAGCCAGGGACTTGATAGAAAATTATGAAGGGGCGGGGGGCGGGCAGGGCAGGGGCAGGGGCTAGAGGAAAATGTCTGCAGTGTGACATGGCCTTCACTGATATTGGAATGACAGTTACCTGCAGGGCCCTGGACATACAGACACAAGAGAGCCCTGGCCATGGAAACCAGGTGCTGTCAGGAAGATCCTCCCCTACTGCGGGGGGGGGGGGGGGGGGGGGGGGGGCGGGGGGGGAGAGTGTATGTGTGTACCCTTGTGTATGCAGGTGGGCGTGCATGTGCTTGTGGGCGTGCATGTGCATGTGGAGGCCAGAAGTTGATGTTAGTTGTCTTTCTCAATTGCTCTCTTGCTCCGTCTCTCTCTATATCTGTGTGTCTCTGTCTGTATCTATCTACATACACACACCCCGCCCCGAGACAGGGTCTCCCTGTAGCTCCAGCTGGCCTGGAACTTGCTATGTAGACAAGCTGACCTCAAATTCAGAGATCGATCCATCTGCCTTTGCCTCCCGAGTGCTGGGATTAAAGGTGTGTGCCACTATACCCAGTTTCTTTATATTTTTTAAGACAGTGTCTCTCACTGAACCTAGAAACCTAGAGCTCACCAATTTAGCGATACAGATAGCCAGCAAACCCCAGCAATCTTCCTGTCTCCACTTCCCTGGTGCTGGGATTACATGTGTGCTGCCACACCCTGCTTTTTACATGAGTACTAGGGATCTGAATTCAGAGCGCGCGGTGAAGAGAAGAGGGGGGGGTGGTGAGACCCCCCCCCGCCCGGGGGGGGGGGGGGGGGGGGCAGCAGCTGGTGACTTTGGCAAAAGAATCAATTACATTCTGGACAGATCACTCTAGTAGATGATGGTGGGCAGACAGGAGCAAGAAACTGCAGAAGCTGAAGCCAGAGCTCTCTGTGCACCCTCAGGGCAGCCTGGCACCCAGTCTGGCATTCTTACCAGGGCCCTTGAATCCTGGACCTGGTAAGACAGCTGCCCAGGTTCCCTTATCATTTACTCCAGGTGACAGTCCATCATGCTGTGCAGATCTACCCTCGATTCCTTCCTGCTGCAGTTCTGGCTCTGGACTCTCACTGGCTCTTTCCACCTTCTCCATTCACTTCCTGGCAACAGGCTCACTCTTGCCAAAGCCGCAATTCCCAACCCAGCTCACCCAGACTAGAATGAGCCCATCCCTTCTCCCCTCGGCCTCCCCACCCCACCTCATCGGCCTCCAGTTGTTCGTCTGAGACTTGCCCAGTCTCATTTTCCCATTGATGACTCATGGATCAGGCCGGGTGAGGCCCCGGCTGCCAGAGCAGGGGGAAGAGTTGGTGTTGATGGCCTCTCCCTGGCCTCACAGTGTCCTCCAGCCCAGCTGAGCAGTTTTCTCTCTCATGCATGTCTGCTTGCACTGTCAAGGGCCTGCCTGTGTCCCCAAAGGGGCCTTTACCCTACTCTGCAGTTCAGCAAGTATTCCAAGGGGGTGGGCCTTTGCTCTTTCCTGGAAATTCAGAGCAGGGAGGACACTCCTGAACTCAGAAAGCAGAGTGGCCCCTTCCGCTCCCCAAAGAGGTCATTATCTTTTTTAAAAGCCTGGTTTAGGAGTCCCAGACCTCTGTGTGGCAAGGTCTCTTGAGCTCCCGAAGCTCTCAAAATATCAGTAAATATCCATTCTGTTGCCAACAGCCACTGCCTACACAGATGTGTGCCAGGGGCCTGCCATGTGCCAGGCCTATGAGAGGGTCCCTAACACAGTGCACTTTAGAGGGCTTGGACTCACTCAGCAGAGGGAGAAACCGAAGCTGGCTTTGGGCAAGAACCAAAGCATACTTGGAACCAAGATTGAGAAGCTGAAAAGTAGAGAGCTCCAGAAACTAAAGCCTGCCTCCATCCCCCAGCACCTGCCCTCTGCCCTTGACACTGCACTGGTTGTGCCCCCCACCCCCATTGCCCTTTGCAGCACAATGATCCCTCTCAGTTCTGCTGAGACGAACACAGTGCTAGGCAATGAGGAAGTACTGCGGGGTTCTCCTTGCTTCCCATGGTCAGTGCTCATGCACCAGCTAGTGTTGGTTTGTCTCCCAAGCTCTGGCCTCCCCAGGGCAGACTGGGTCATGTCTTTTTTGTCCTCCCGTGCCCACTGGGGAACAGAGTACCAGGCCAGAAGAGGCATTGCTTGCTGATCCCACTTGCTCACAAACTTTCCTCCCATTTCTGAGTGCCTGATGCTCTATTTCTTTTTATTGGAATAGCCTGGATTCTCTCTTCAAGACTGCTTTCATAGGAGAACGGACACACGAGCCCTTTCCCACTAGCACAGCTATAGCAAGGAGTGGCAACCTTCTCTCCATCCCTTGCCTATGGAAATGCTGCCACCCTCCCCATCTTCCTCCCAAAGCCCACAGAAAACTTCACCAGTTGACCAGAGTACCCTACCTTAGCCCTAATCATTCTCAACACTGATGCAGGTTAACATGGAAAATAGTGCTTTTTGACCCGGTGGGATTAAGCTATCCGTAGGGTGGTGGGTGCAACCTAATGAGATAAGAAATAGGATGGTTGTAAATGGCCCTTTGCAAATTATACATTCATATTCGATTGTGAAATGTAGTTCCCACTGCACATGAGAAATACTTCTGAGGACTAGGGGACAAGGGACAGAAAGAAGAAAGGGAAATTTTGATTAGAAGGCAAGAGAAATATGACGGAGGGTGAAGCCGACGGAAGCACAGAGAGGTTATCAAAGAGCCTTCAAGTTATTGAGGGAGTCCTTACATCCTTTCCAGAGATTCTGAAGCAGGCTCCCCATCCGGGAGGCTAAGAACTGCTGAATATAACTACTGTTTACACAGGGGAGGTTCTAGGGGTACCTATCAGCAGCTTCTGTGTAAGTCAAGACAACTATTTCTCTGCATCCTCCCATGACTCCTTGTTAGCCACCCAGTGAGGAAGACTTACTGTGTGACAGTGTCTGAAACAGAGAGCGAAGCCTGCCCACAAACCTGAGCCATCTCCTAGGTTTGCAGGGGCAAAGTACCCTTCTACAGGAAAGGCATGTATACAAAGTGAATTGGCCACTGTAACATCCTTCAGTTACACTGAGGCCCTTCCTTCTGAGGGCCACTGAGCTTTCAAAAAGGCCTGTAGGTTTGAAGAAGAGGTAAAAGAGTGACATTCCAGGCCCTAGGTCTTTTTTGATTAAAGAATTTCACTCAGCAGACAGAATGGTTACTGCCCATGTATAAGGCATCTTCATTCTGGAATAGGCATGAAATGGTAACGGCCAAACCCCTACCCCACCCCCACCACCTCCAGACCCAGCACCGAAGTGAGGAGAGGGCAACAGAGGTGAGGGAAGAAGTGTGCAAAGAGAGGACATGGATGGGTAGGGGGGTCCCAAAAGGACCTAAGCAGCATGAGACCCCCAGGCGTCGGCCTCAAGCCCAGCAGTTCCTCCTCTGCAGGTGAGTCCAGAGAGGCTGTTCAAAGGTAAGGTGGTTGTCTTCTGGATCCAGGTTGGCTTCCTGTGTCCTGAGGCACCAGCTTAGCACCCCATGGCGGACTGCCCTCCTCTGAGCAATGTCTCAAAGCCAGGAACTATACAGCAGTCTGCAGAACCCAGAACCAGGACAGGACCAGAGGGCAGGGCTTAGATGCCAGGTAACCAGGAGTGTTCTCCATCATGATACCTGAGGCCAGGCCTGTGGTTCAAAGCTCTGAGCTGGATTTAGCAGTCTCAGTGTCTGGGAGCTGAATCTTCATCCTCAGCCCCTTATTGGCTTTGCCCTCCTCCCTCGGCCCATTAGTGCCTTCCATGCGGATGCCTCTTCCACATGTCCACAGCTTCTGTCTCACCACATGTAGTCAGGTCCCCACCAACCAAAGTGGGCAAGGAAGCTGGAGAGGAAAAAAAAAAAAAAAAACTGATTAGGGCAGGGGCAACCCTGGAACTGAGCATCCACTAAGGGCCAGGTGCATCACACCAGGCTCTCCCAGCTTTTTCCATATCCGGATAAACAGAAAATAATGTAGCCATTCCTGCTACCCACAGGGGGTGGGTTCCAAGATACCCCAGACACTAAAATCTAGAGGCTTCTTCATATAAAAGGCTGCAGTCTTTGCATATAACCTAAGTGCACCTTCCCTATGCTTAAAACCACTTATACATTGTTTGTAATACTTAACACGATGTAAATGTTACTTAAATAGTTGTTATTCTATAGTTTGGGAAATAGTAACAAGGAAAAAAAAGGTCTTTGTATATTTATATAACATTTTTTCCCAACTATTTTAGATTTAGTTATGGGGGGAGGGGTATGAGATGACCACCTTACCTTCAAACAAATGTATAAGAATATGTAAGTGCACCCATGCTTTCAATGCTCACAGAAGCCAGAAGATGGGATCAGAGCTCCTGGAACTGAAGTTAAGGAAGGGTGGTGGCCACCATGTGAGTGCTGGAAACCAAACCAGGGTCCTCTGCAGGAGCAGTCAGGGCCCTTAACTGCTGAGTCATCTCTCCAGCCTGGTTTTCCAATTATTTTTGGTCAGGGATTGGTTGAATCCACAGAGGAGGAACAGAGGTGGCTACAGAGGGGGGCTGTATTTGCACAACACACTGTGCCCAATGGAATCTGTTTCTTCCAGCTCCACTCCCCAGTCCCAAGGGATCATGGTAGACCCATTCTTAGCCCAGTGAGTTTGTCTTACCCCCAGCCTCACTATAATGTGTGTGGGGGGAGGGAAGTGTTGTAAACAGGAAGCTCAGTGGGGTTGGGGCTTTACATGGCCCCCAAGTTCATTGGGCCTCTACTTGCTCGAACAGAGAAGATGGAAAGAGAGGTGAGTGAGGCAGTGTGGGAGGTGGAGTGGGGTTCCTGGGGGACACAAACTTCCACTGGAGAAGTGAAGGCCAGAGTGGTACAAACCCCTCTTCTACTCTGCTCACAGTTCCCACATGGAGAGAGTAGCATCTGGGGAAGAGGGCATAGGGCTTAGTGCCAGGGCTTCTAGGTTCTATTCCTGGTCCCTTCCCTGAGCCATCCTGACCACAAATCGACCCCCAACTCTCTGCCCTACTGCTTAAGGAGGATTAAGACGTCACAAATAACAACTCATGGCCCCATCCTGTTCCCTGCTACCCATCCCACCCCACTGCCCCATCCCCTCTTCTAGTTTCTCCTCTGGGCCAAGCCAGCCTTTGCCGGCACTCCTGGGTAGGTAGACAGACAGATCCATTCCCCTTGGCATTGATGGCCTGGGCACAGTCTGCCTCACACAACTCCAGCTCCCTTGTCCTCCCAACAACTCAACCCTAGGATCCACCCTGAAAAAGTAGAACCCTCAGCTCAGCCCAGCCCAGCCCTCCACTGAGGCCCCACGTGGGGAGCTGAGACACCATGGTTTGTTCCCAAACCCTGAGGACTTCACTAACTGAAAGGCGCTGCCATTCTGCCTCAATTTAATGTTCAGCTTCTCTGACATACATTCATTCTAGAAGGCTGGTGGGCAGATAGATCCCTTTCCTCAGATCTCCTTAGTTCCCAGAGAGCCATAGTCCAGGAGCCTATGCTGGGTGAGAGTGGAAGACTTGTCAGGTTTCCATCAGTCTCAGAGAAAGCCTAACCCACCCTGGGCTCTCCCTCCTAGGGCCCCTGTCTTTTCAGACACTTGAGTCACGTTCAGGGCCCTCCTGCCCGACACCCTAAGGGAAAGACCAGCTCTGTTTACTTGGTCATAGGCCCAGGCCTCCCAAGCACAGGCTTTTGGGCTCCTAGCCTCTGTTGGCCCCAAGAACCTTCCCTAGGATTTTGAGGTGGAGTGCTTACTCCCTGATTTTCTGCAGAGGACAGAGGACAAGGGAGGAAAGAGGAGAGAAAGAGGGTTCAGTGGCCTGGAGTCTTACCTGACATGTCCTCTGGGCACGGCAGTGGGGGACATGTGGTTAAAATGGTATGCCTGGTGGCTTAGGACACGAGGGTCCCAGTCCCGAGACTCTGCCGGGCGCGCACTGTCTGGATGGCCTGTTGGTTCTTGAACTTAACCAGGCCCAGAGTGATCTGCGCGTTCCAACCCGGGTCTTCCAGGGGACAGCGGAAGTCGATCTCACCGCCGCCCTCGGTCACTAGCGTGAAGTAGATGTGGCGTCCAGTGCTCTCCACGCACTCCACGGCCTTGATGCGGGCGAAGCTGAGCTCCTTGGGCCGGCCGCCCGTACCCTTGGCCTCGAAGAGCTGCAGCCCGCGCTCCGTGAGCACGCAGCGCTTCCTCTTCCACAGCTGCAGCAGCCCGCCGCTGCGCTTCTCCAGCACGCCCTCCTTGAGCACCGTCGCCGCCGCCGTCATGGGCGCCCCGAGGTCCCGCGACTGCAGGGGACTGCGGTGGGCGTGTGGGTCCCGGCTCTGCAACGCGGGATGCTGGCGCCCGCGGCCAGTGGCCTTGCGCCCGGCCCACCTGAGCCCACCACGCGGTGCGCTTTCCCGACCGCGGCGCCCCGGCAGTGCGTGCGGATGTTCCCCGCCTGCCTCCGGCTGCTGCAGCTCAGGATGCTCCGCTCCGGTCCGGCCGCCCTCGCGCCTCTGCCGGGTGCCCTGCCGCCCGCACGCCCGCTCACTCGTTCCCCGGGCTGGGTCTGCGCACTGGGCCGCAGCTCGCGGGATGTGCCCTTACATGTTCTGCAGCTCGCCTCCTGCGCCGCCCGCCCGCCGCGCATTCCTGCCTGGCCGGCCCTCCCCTCTGCGCCCGTGCACCCGCCCGGACCCGGCCCGGGGGCGGGGCCGCAGCGGGGTTCGCCACCCATGGCAGACGTGGGGCTCGGCCCGGAGGGGGCCGCTTACTCGACAGCAGGCCTATGGCCTGCAGCCTGCCCCATCTTAAAACCACAGCCCTCCCCCATCCCTGTCCCACGCCTTGGACCTAGGACACGAAGGGGAGGAGAGGGGCCAGGATCTTCTAGAGGATCAAGGTCACTGCTTGCTAGGGTTGGGCTTGCTCAGCTCAGTGGCACCCTTTGCCTGGTGGGTGTCAAACAGCTGCTGGCTGCTTCTCAAACAGTGGGGGTACTGGTTCCCCAGCTTCTTCCAGAAGCTCGCGTTGGGATCCTCTGCCATCAGCAGACGTCTCTGTGCTAGGCCCAAGAGAGGCTGGTCACAGCTTGAATAACCTACCCTTCCTCTTTTACCTACCCACTTCCATCGGCTTCGGGGAGATGGCAGAATAGCAGTCCTGACGACCTCTCCTTAATGGGTAGTAGACACCCGTACTGTGGCTTCACGATGTCCCATGGTCTTCTCCCGGCCCTTGAAGGTATAGTCCCCAGTCTTGTGGCTTCTCTGCAGATTTCTTCCCTGATCCCACCCCAGAGGAAGCTGAAGGAAGACAGGGAAGGAAAAGGCTTCTCCCACTTCCACTTTGAGTGCTGGGTGAAAATAAGAGCTGGTGACTTGGCTTCAAACCTTTCTCCCTGATTGCCATGTCCCCTCTACCTGGGCAACATCTTCGTTTATCGAATAGAACAACTAATCTTTCCTGATCTAGTTGGGTTATTATAATGAATAAGTTAGAGACCACTTGTGAAAGGCCCAGGACAGGCCTGGTAGCTCAGTTAGTTATTCCTTCCCCTCTCCCTTCTGTGGCTTTCTTTGGAGAAGGTCAGAGTCTGAGATTAGGCCAGGCACAGGAAGATGGCTTTCCTAGGGCCTCACCTCCCCATCTTGGTCAGCTCCTCCAGGCCAAAGTTTCTTAAAAGCTTATTCACGCACGCGTTAGTAGTAGATTGTTCTGGGACTAATGATACACAATAATAACAGTAAGATCTCTTTGTACTGACATCCTGTATTTCTGTCCTCAATGAGCAGAAACTATCAGACACAGTGAGGTTCCAGTTGTGAGCCAGGGGGTGGCCTCCTCTGCAGAGCCAAGCCAGGAGTGGAAGGAAGGAGCCATCAACTTCCCATCCACGTGCCAGAATGTCTTGCACATGCACACACACACACACACACACACAATCTAACTCCTAACTCACAGAATGCCTCTCTAGGAAAGGAGCAGATAAGTCCTTATGAACCCCTGCCTGCCAGCCATTCCCTACCATGGCTCTTCTCTCCCTACCCGGCTGTTGGGGTCTCCTGAGTACACCAAGCTAGTGGGTCTTGACCCATCCCTCTCCCCTTTAGGAAGTGGGCTCTGCCCCCTCATTCATCCCATCTCCATCACTTCCTCCTCCATTCGTGCTTTCTATAGCTACAGGTTCATTCTCAAGACTAAAAGTTTACAGAGTCCTCTCCCATGTTTTAAATTCTCATATGAGAAATAGGTGATATTATTTTGTTAACTTTTTTCTAATGAGAAAAAAATGAGATAGAGAGGTCCTGAAGCTCTGTAATGGCAAGTTGGGGATAAGAATGTAAGGTGGTTCACAGAACCCAGAATCAGCTGATGAAATCACACTGCCTCTCCATAAACATTGAGCAAGCATAACATGGCCACCCATACTTTTCGTTTATTGGCTGGAAGGCTATGGGCTTCTGACAGAGGAGGAAGGGAGAAAGGGCAAGAACAATGAGTAGCATGAGTGAGTGGGCAAAGAGGGGCATGAGAGGAAGCACAGCAGGGCATACTCTGTTGCTAGGAGGGTCTCTGCCCATCAAACGTCCAGTTCCATATACCACCACATAGTCCTAGTCTGTTCTTGGAACCCAGGATCCTGGGTTACAATCATAAGATTGCAGGATCAGGAGAGAGAACTCAATTTTCCCTAGGATTGGCATCTTGCCTGATAGCCCCATCTGGTAGGTGCCCTTGTCCAGGTTGGATCAGTTGGATATTGGAAGAGGATTTTAAGGATAGAGGGTTCAGGGCACTCCTTGCTGTCAAAGTATCTACACTTCCACCAGGAACAGGAACTGCAGCTTGGCCTTCTTGCCTGCTTGGGCTGCTTACTCGGGGAAAGGTGAGCCCTGGAATTCTGACTGGATTCTTAGACTTCTTGACTCCAAATGGGACAGATGGACAGAATGTCCTCTGGTAGCAGCCCACAGCTGCTTCCTCACTTTGCCCACCCCAAGGCGAAAGCCGAACTGTCCCTTCAGGCAATCAGAGTCCAGCTGTATGGGTCTGACTCTAAAATGCCTAGGGGAAGAGTGAGCTGGGAAGGGCTAGTGAGCTGTCCCATCCTGTGTGGGAAGGAAGGAGACCACGTGGAGAGGCAGGGCCACAGGGAAGGAAAATGATGTAAGAGCTTACAAAGAAACATAGTTGTTTGTTTTGTAAAATTTTAAAAAATATTTTAACTTACTATTTTTGTTTTATGAGTTGTATTGCGTGCATGCACGTGAACAAACCCATGTTGTGCATGCCTGTGGAGGTCAGAAGAGGGCATCAGATCCCCTGGAACTGGAGTTAAAGACAGTTGTTAGTTGCCATGTGGGTGCTGGGAACCAAAACAGGGTCCTCTGCAAGAACAGTGAGTGCTCTTAACTGCTGAGCTCTCTCTCCAGCCCGTTTTTAATTTTTTAAAAGATAACATTTATTTATGTTTATGTGTGTGTACCTAAGTGTATGTAAGTGTACCACATGTGTGTATGTCCCCACAGCAGTCAGAAGAGGTCATTGGATCCCCTGGAACTGAAGTTACAGTTGGCTGTGACCTGGCATCTGGGTGTTGGCAACTCCTCTGCAAGAGCAGCCAGTGCTCTTAACCACCGAGCCATCTCTCCAGCACCATATCTGTTGTTTTGTACAATATTTACTTAAGTAAATTAAGTTGAGAAGTAATAAATTTCTAGACAAAGTAAAGCGAAAGTGGTAAAGATAATTTTACCAACAAAATAGAATGTGCTGTCCAGGTATGGTGATGCAGACTGGTCACTGGCACTCAAGTACTGTCACTCGGGAGTTAGAAGCAGGATAAGAAATCCAAGGTCATTCTCAGCTACATACTGAGTTCAGACCAGCTTCAGATACATGAGACCGTGTCTAAAAAAGTAAAAAATAAATGTTAAAAGTCTTTTAAAAATAGAATGTGGAGCTGGCATGGCAGCACACTCCTTTAATTCTAGCACTTGGGAGAAAGATGCAGGCAGATCTCTGTGAGTTCAAGGCCAGCCTGTTCTACATAGTGAGTTCCAAGCCAGCTGGGGCTACAGGGAGACCCTGTCTCAAAAATACAAATAAATAAATAAACAAACAAATAAATAAATAAATAGAATGTATATTAACACTAAAAAATTTAAACAAATCCAGGCTTGGTGGCACACATCTGTAATCCCAACACTCTGGGGTCAGGAGGGTTGTTGCAAATTTGAGGCCAGCCTGATCAACATAAAGAGTCCCAGGCCAGCTTAGACTATATAGTAAGACCCTGTCTTAAAAAGAAAAAATGATAAAATTTAAGCTGTGTAAAATGATGTCACTTCTTTGCTCATAATTCACAAGAGCCTTTTCATCTCACTGAATAAAGCTAATGTTAGTGATGCCGCTGCAAGGCTCTCCAGGACTGGACCTTCAGGATTGGGCCTTCAGAACAGGGTCTCTGAGACTGAACCTCCACGACTGGGCCTCTGGGACTGGGCCTCCATGACAGGCCCTCTGAGACTTGTCCTGACTTTCTGCCCTTAGCTTCCCTCCTCAGGGCCTTTGCACTTCCTGTTCGGCTGCCTGGAGCACTCCTCCACATTACCATTTGTTTCCCACATTTCTTCAAACCTCAACCTGCTTCCTACAGACAGATCCACTGTGTCCCCTCCCTGCTTGATTTTCTCTATATTACCCTGTAAAACACGACCTTTTGTACTTATTGTTTGTCTCCTAGGCTAAAATATAGGTTCTGTGCCAGCAAGAGTTTGATCTGTTTTCTTCCCCCGACCCCCCATAGCTCCAGCATCTAGAGCATTGCTTGGCACACAGTAAGACTTCAGTAAAGAATCACTGATGGGTAGACAAGATAGCAAATACAGCTGAAAAAACTGGGAAGTAAAAAAGGGTAATGTTATCATTTATTTTTTCATTATAAGGAGTCAATAAATGCTATCAAGGGGCTGGAGAGATGGCTCAGCCATTAAGAACACTGGCTACTCTTGCAGTAGACCCAGCAAATTCCAACACCTACATGGCAGTGACAACCATCTACAAATCCAGTTCCAGGGATCTGATGCCCTCTTCTGTCCTCTGAGGGCACTGTATGACACAGGTACACTTACATACATGCAGGCATAACACTCATACACATAAACAAAATTTTTAATTCTCAAAAAAAAATGATATTGGCTGGGTGTGGTGGCGCATGCCTTTAATCCCAACATTCAGGAGGCAGAGGCAAGTGGATCTCTGTGAGTTCAAGGCCAGCCTGGTCTACATAGTAGGTTTCAGGACAGCTGGGGCTACAGGGAGACCCTGTCTCAAAAAGACCAAAAAAAAAAAAAAATGCTATCAAGAACTAATGAAGTAATAAAAAAAAAAAAAGTCCAAGTGCATCATCTAAAATAGTAATGGACCAGGGCTGGTGGTTATATCTGTAGTTCCAGCACATAGGAGGCCAAGGCAGGAGGATCAAGAGCTCAAGACCAGCTTGTACTACATAGTGAGTTCAAGGCCAGCCTGGACTACATAAGACAATTTGTCTTATACAACCAAAATGAGCCCCAGCAAGCTGGCCCAGGGGGTAAGTGTACTGCTGCCAAATCTGACAACCTGAGT